GACCCTACCCGTGCAGGCCACTAGTTTTTATATGTATATATATTTGCCTGATTGAAGGGTGTATATATCTGGTATGTATGTATATATATACCCCCACACACATATATAGAGATATAGATATATACACATACACATATACATATACTACATATATAAAATATAAATATATAACACATAAATATATATTTTAAAAATCAGGAATAAGAATGGCAATGGACTTAATAGCAAGATTGAAAACTAAAAGAAAATGTAGTCATGTTTTCAAAGTTCAGAGGGATAATTATTTTGAGCACAGAATTTTAGACAAACAACTGACCAAAATTTTGGATAGAAAAAAGGTTTTCGGAGATTATCAAAATATCCATGCATCCTTTTTCTCAGGGAGTCACAAGAGGAATAACTCTGACAAAATGAGGCAGTGAATCAAAAAAGAAAACATGAGAACCAGAAAATGAGATCTGAAACAAGAGACAGGCAAGAGGAATACTAAAGAAAATGGTCAAGATCACAGAGTGACAACTGTGCCTTAGGCCTAGAGAGCCACCAAACCAGAAGGAAGGGAACAGAATGGGAGAGATGACTTTAAAAATGTAAAACTGATACAATTTTTAAAGTGTCTGAATGCAAAGATAGAGATATAGACTGCTAGAAGAGAGCATGAAGATAAATTAGTAATAAGTTCAGATAACACCAAACAAAACAAGACAATTATTAATTTCAGGGTCAATAAAAAGTTGTATAAGAAAGGAAAAATAGTAATTGCAAATCATAGTAAACTATGCAGCTTAGCTGTGACTACCATTTACATAATGGTAATAATGTAAACACTGATCTAACCCAATGGTTCTCAACTAGATAACCTGTACCACACACCAATCCAACATTTGGAAATGTGTGGGAAATTCATGGTTGTGGGTAATTCAGGTTGTTATTGATATTTAATGCCCAGGGTCCAGGAATGCTAAATAATAATATGTAATGAACAGGATAATGAAGAACTGTCGCATCCAAAATGACAACACTGCCCACATTGAGAGAAACTGATTTTAGCCAAAATTATGGTATCACTATACTGGGAGGATGGGTGAGAGAATAAATAAAAAGTGTACATGTATACAGAAGTGAGGAGAAGAAGAGAACTAAATCTTCATTTATTTTATTTTCCATAGTCAATAAAAAGGGTGTCCCAAAATTCACACAAGAAGTAATTTTGATAGAAAACACAGGTTTATAATTAAAAATTGTAAATTTTTTATTGATTCATAAAGTATACAGTATAGGGTTATGTATGGAATAGCACATCAGGTAAATGGCCTCCAAGGCTTTGCTGGCACATACGCAAAGCAGTGGTCTTCATTGGTCTTCATTGTCCCTGCTCCTGGGCCATAATTGGTACTTGGTAATGCTTATCAAATTGAAGGGATTAAAATCAAAGGGCAACTGATATTAGAATCTGATTCAATAAACCAAGTAAAATTAGGCTTTTATTTTTTGTTGTTGTTGTTAATGCTCACGCAAAATTCAAATCTTGCATGAATTTTGGGACACCCTTTATAAAGCCTAAAAAGAAATCAAAAGTAACATTATAAAAGGGTAATTTAAAAAAAGGTAATTCAGAGATCTGCTGTTTATAGCAAAAAATATCTCACAGACTTGAAAAAGGCTGCCTTTGGTGAATGGGAAATGGTGGAAAGGGGCAGGACTCTGCAAATTAAGTCGGGAAAGAAGGCTAGATGTTTCTGCCGGTACCCCACCCTCAGCTGTGCGTGGTATCCACCAAATCCAAAGACTGTTTTATCCTCTCCATCCAGATACTAAATCTCTACTTACCATGTATGGGACAAAAAGGTCACATCTGGAAGTATTTTTCTTAAACAGACTTTCACACAATTGCTTATATTTTTTGCCCCACCTTCACCTTTACAGTACATACCACCACTAATCTTGAAAATTTTAAAAGGCTCTAAAACAAAAATATGACTATACGTTGGCTTTCTCAAGTCTGCTAATCAGTTATCACTAACCTATTCTGCTTTCCAGCTTCCAGAATTTTGTTATTCTCACTGCTCTCGCTCTTTGTCATTTGGTTTCTAAAAAAACCCACATACTTCTCTACCGTTTTAATGGACTTTTCAGGCTGAAGTGGAATTAAATGTGTATTATCATTCCACTATCTTTACAACATATTTTTGAATGAAAATAAACCAAACCCCCCCAAGTTGTTATGAGCCCACTGTGGTTAAAGAAAAAAATGTAAGTATATTTGAGTATTTATAGAGGACAAATGTCTAAAAGAATATACACCAAATTATTACAGTTTACATCCATAGTTCTTAAACTGTGTGCCAAGGCACCCTGAGATTCTGCAGTGAATTCACGGCGATGTTATAAGATATTCCAAAGCAAAGGGGAAAAGTGATATTCTTTATCTGTCAAGCACCTCACAAACTACCAGTTCAGGACAGTTCAGTTTCAAATTAGATCAAGCTATATTCTTTTTAAAGGAGAGAGGTGTACATGTTTAAATGTTGATGAAGTACTTTACTATGGATAAAGATGGCAGACTTAACAGACAAGACAGATGCATTTTACTTTCACTTCCTTCTAAAACCCCATCAATATGAAATAAAGAACTTCTTAGCCGTGGCTGGGTAGCTCAGTTGGTTAGAGTGTCATCCGATACATCAAGGTTGTGGATTAGATTTCCTGTCAGGGTACATAGAAGCAGCAACCAATGAATGCATAAATAAGTGGAACAACAAATTGATGTTTCTCTCTCTCGCTCGCTCCCTTTCTCTATCTAAAATCAGTAAAATTTTCTTAAACTACTTATTAAAAGATATAATTTACATATAGTGAAATGCACAGATCTTAAGGGCTTGTTTTATTTATTTTTGTCTTTTTTAAAGCATATGCACACAAAATGGAAGAGAGGACAACAGAACCTTTTGGAAGTTGGACTGTTGATTTAAAGATCTAAGACAGTTAAATATCAAGCTTGCAATGAGGAAGACAATCCAATTTACTAGTATATACAACAGTGCCTCAAAACAGATCAGGAATTGGCAGCAGCATGTTCTGTAAGAGGGGGTTGGTAAATATGGTGCTAAAAATAACAGGATTGGTCAAATCACTTAGATACCCCCCTTCTTTCCTCAAAACCAGCCTACTGCCCCTTCACCATCTTTGCAGAAGCTTGGAGCATTATTTTCTAGGCTAGAACAGCACTGTGCAATAAAACTTTGCACTGACAAAACTATCCTACAACTGCCTTGTCTAATATGGTAGCCTCTAACACATAGTTAACCACTGAAAATGTGTCTAGTCAGTGCCACCGAGGAACTAAATCTTTAATTTTATTTAATTTCAATTATTTAAGTTGCTACATGTGGCTTGCGGCTATTAGACAATGCAGCTCTAAAGGGTAAAACAAAAGATTCCTGGACTGGGAAACATCTAGTACAGTTGAGAATGAGGGTATCATATTAAAAATAGTTGAGTTTCAATGAACCTAAGTGAGGGCTAAGGCTTCTGCCCTTATCCCCAATTTAGCTACCAGACTGCTGGGAGCCCAGTTTATAAGCTCTAAGCAGGAGATTTGAAGACTCTTCTTTGGGAAATCTAACTAGCTCAAGAAATAAGACAACAATACTGCTATTGAAGGTTCTCTAATAAAGACTCCAGCAAGTGCACCCTAAGACTGACAAATCCAAAGCTTGTACTCAGAGCACATGTAATTAA